AATGCATTGGTAATTTGAGGTCGATGCTTCAAAATCGAAAAAAGAGAGGACTTTCAGGGAAACTTTCTTGTGAGAGAAGATCTCATCTATAATTGAAGTAGATGAAAAGGCTCTGAGTCTAGGTTAATGTAGACGAATTAGAGTTATTAGATCCTTGCTCATAATGAAACTAAACACGAGGAGTAGTTCAAGGATCTCCTAAATTATGTATGATCTTCAAGCACTCTTCTACTTAATTGAGCGACCCAACAATTACTCTACTTTTTTTACATGAAAAATCTCTTTCATCAAAGTGTTTCACGATTTAACTTTATCCTTAGCATTACTCATGTTCATTGCACTTTTTTAGACGTTAAATTCAAATATGACACTAAGACCATACTAACAAACATGGCTTAAATCTAAAAAAAGAAGGGAGAGAAAGGAGAGAAAGGACTAGAAAGAGGCAGAATCTTCTAAAATTTCAATCTTAGAAAATAAAACCTTAAGCAAATCTATTACACTACTTCAACATTACAAAAACAAATTTCAAAGAATAAACAATAATTACTACTTGGTTATGTGCAAAACCACCTGCAAAAAAAAATAAAAAAAATATAGCAAGCGGTATTTTCTCTTGCCACAATGGAAGATAAAATGATTGAATCACCACAAAAAATTTAAATGATTTTGCTCTGATTGGGTTTTTAAATTGGTAAATGAAAGTGCATATTCATCTTAGTAATAAGGGATCCAAATCATTCATTACCGTACAAAAAATCATTTGACATAGTTTAAACTTTATATGCACATATAGATGCAGCATGTAACCACCTATCACTTGATTAGTCCTATCACATATAACCTAGTAAAGAACAAGAATAGAAACCCATGATCCTTAACAAAAGTCATCAAAGATGCAGATCAAATTCACTGGGAATAGTATGACATCTTAGGTATTACAAAAAAAAAACATAATTGTCTCCCTACTAATCACGATTTTAGATTCAAAATGCTAGAAAATTAGATTAGATCCCGCTCCACTTTAACAAAAATTAAACCGAATAAATAAACTTAGCGAACAAATAAGCTATCAAACTGTATCACTCCCACTTTTAAAAGAAATGGCATTGATAAAATTATAATTGGAAAGAATGAAGAATCTTTTGAATGAATATCATATCACAAAAACGACAGTTTATTTATCAAATATGGTGTCTAAAAGATACTCTCATAGCTGTTATGCATGGACAACAGGGTGCTCTGCAAATCCCTATTGTTTCCTTTTTGCAGTCTTAAAATGTACACTTACAACTCCCACCAACAACAAGGGAACTCATACTATACCTGGCATAGGGGCTAGGCGGAACCGTCAATTTTCAGGGAGGGTCGGCATGCCCTCTCTAGGTTCAGGGTTGCCGCCCAATTAAGAGTAGGGTCCATTCCTAATAATAGTAGGTCTATTTAAGTGTGTCTTTGATTTTTAGGGCTTTGTTTTTATTAATTTGAGTTTGTAGAGTTGTCGGTTCCTCTTTTCCCTTTCTAAGGTTGTGTCTCAGGGGTCCAAGTGTGCTCTAGTTATATCTCATTTATGAGGTGGTGTATATCCCCTTTTAACCATTCCCCACTCTCTGTTGCATCAATTCATTCACCCTAACTGCTTTTTAGCATGTTGGGGGTCCAAGTGTGCTCCGTTGTATCTCGTTTCTGAGGTGGTGTGTATCTCCTTTTAACCATTCCCCACTCTCGGTTGCATCAATTCTTTTCAGCCTAGTCACTTTCCAGCTTGTTGCCACCTTGTTCAATCCCTTCGTCTGTTGTTAAACAGCCCCCTTGACGCCACCAACACCCTAGATATAACCCTAATTCTAATGTTGTGTTGTTTTGTGGAGTTTTATATTTCCCTATTATTTGTTGAAATTTTGGACCTTAAATTTTGCAATAATATTTATTTTCCCTTTGATGTTTGTTAAATTCCGGTATCATTTGGTATCAGAGCTAGCACACCATAGTTTCATCCTATTGTGACATAAACTAATCAAACCATAGTCAAATCCTGACCTAACCCTGATTCTTTTTTTTATTATTTTTGGCAATCTAAATCATCCTCATATACCCTCTCTCACCTCCCAAACTTGAACCCTAACACCATGTCATCAAGGAGACAAATGTTGGAAGCCGATTGGGATCTTACATGGAGGATATGCAATGAAAATCTACAGACTTCAACGAAGACTATTTGAAATTAAGGAAAGGACCCATAGAGACATCACTATTGATCATGATAATGGAATTCAAAAAAAATCTAAATCCCTTATAGGAATGATTCCAGTGAAGAGGAGGATATGTCACCTCGCTTTGGGTCTCAATATTAGAGGAGGTTGAAGGATTGAAGAACCTTTGTAGGACATGAAGTCATGGGGATAAAGGTCGACTTATCGAAGTTTGAGAAGAGTAAGAGTCGGAGGGTGAAGTTTGTTGCCGCTGAAGAAAAATGCCTCTTTGCGGTAAGATGATCTGAAGAGAATAAGACAGAGAATGTAAAAATAAAATCACTATTTGGGAGAAGAAGAAGGAGATGCAGAGGAAATGTCTACCCCACACTACCTAGAGAAATTCACAGTGGAGTTTGAGTAGTTAATGCTAAAATGTGAGGAGTTAAAGAAGCCAGAGAAAAATACCAAATCAACGTATTCGGGATGCATGAAGTTAGTCATCAGCCATGTCGTTCAGTTGCAACTTTACTGATCATCTAGTGATGTTCAAACCTTCACCACGAAGGAGGAGAAACAATAGAAACAGATCAGGACCTTATCGTAACTCGGACATTCACCCACAATAAGAGCCAGTAGGGGTACATCTAAGAAAGATGTGAAAACGCTCCAAAAAAATGATAAAGTTATCAAAGTAGGAAGAAGCCTGAAGGAGCAGTAAACACAGTATAGAGCCCACAAGGAAGTGTTTCAGAGGTCTTGGGTTTTGATACATCGCCTCCAGTTGCTCTACTACCAAAGTTGTCTCTTTCACTGAGCAAGGAGCAGTAAATAAAGTAGGAAAGTAATATTGTAGACATAGAAAATAGTGAGGATGTGCAGAAGTATCAACTTCAAGTTGATGAGAGCAAGATGTTTGTGGTTGAAGAGTCCTTCAAATTGAGGCTACGAAAAAGCCGTAGTAGCTTTGCCACAACATCTTTTATACTAGTTACACTGTAAAGTGAAAGGTGAGTAGCCTTATAATTGTGGTGTCTACACAGATGGTGGATAAGTTGAGTCTCACTACTAGAAATATTCTCAGTCATATTTCCTAACTTATTTGAATAGGGGGAACAAGGTTAGCATTGATATAAGACGTCTTGCAGAGTTTTTATTAAGGATTGATTGCATGACCAAGTACAATGCGATGCTGTAACCATGAACGTCTGTCACATTCTATTGGGTAGGCCGTGACAATTTGATCACAAGACTCAGTATGATGAGCTCAAGAACACTTACTAATTCATCACGGATGAAAAGCATATAGTTCTTCTACCTTCAACAGAGTCTGAGGTTATAGATGCTCTTTCCATGAGAGAGAAGCTAATGAGATCAATTTTAGTGATGCTAGAGGGTACTAAGATAGAAGATCGAATATCAGATACAGGGCAACTACTACAAAGAGAGTTTCAAGATATCCTAACTGACAGCTTACCACTAGGGCTTTACCGCAAGAGAGTTTTAGGATATCCTACTGACAGCTTACCTCTAGGGTTGTTATCGTTATGGGAGGTTCAATCTATCTTCAGTTCAGATGAGAATGAGTCATCCTTGAGCTACTTTAGAGGACTCTACAGACAGCAATGGCACGAAATTCAAATTCAGTCCAGCGTTGTGCCCACAGATAGTTGAACAGATAAAGATGGATACTCATAATTCAAAAAACCTTCTCAGGTATTTTGTGGGACATTGTATCCGACAGTGAGATTCCGATGGTTCTAGAGACGCAATCGAAGGAGCTCCAATCCCGAAAGGTTACGACAGCACTGCCACCTACAACATGACCGGCCTGATGTCATATCATGATTTAGAAGTTTCGACAGATAAGATCGATACTCCATTCACCCCGACAAACTAACGCGGGACTTAGGCAAGACCCTGGACCAGTTCGGTTCAGGTTGAGGAAGAGTTGGTCGTCTCTCTCTAAACCTAGGGTTTTTGCTCATGAGAGTGGGGCACACTCTTAATAGTAGTAGTTCTATTTAAGTGTTTATTTGGTGTTTAGGGTTTCATTTTTTATTTGAGTTTGTAGAGCAGTCGGCTCCTCTTTTCCCCTTTTAAGGTTGTATCTAAGGGATCTAAGTGGTGTTTCGGATGTATCTCATTTCTGAGGTGATGTGTATCCCTTTCTACCCTCCCCACACTTTCTCTGGCATTGAATCCCTTCACCCTCGCCACTTTCAAACTTGCTACCACTTTGTTGAATCCCTTCGTCTGTTGTTAAACAACCCACTTGGGACCATGTACACTCTAGATCCAACCATAGTTCTAGTGTTGTATTGTTATTTTGTTGCAATTTTGGATTTCTCTCTTGATTGGTGTAATTTTAAATTTTCAATTCAATAGTAATATTTGTATTCTCTAGAGTGTTAGTAAAATTCCGATATCAATACCAAGAACCATCAAGATATCATTCTTTTCAGAGCACAAATAAATAAAAAGACTAGCCTAGCACCAAAATTCTGCCCGTGCAAAACATGAGACAAGAACAACCGATGGCAAAAAAAATCAAGTCTCGCTAATCCAATAAATCATCCAGTTCATGCTAAAACATTTTGTTGTGAATTAATCCTTTATGAACTGCCTGATACTTTACTTGACATAGAACTAAACATCTCCCAAATTTCAAAGGAGTAAAGTAGCATGGATCAATCGGCATGCAGTGCAACCAGATGCACTTCTAGCAATAGACTGTCCAACATTTGAAAAATATGGCCAGCAAAGGAATGAAGCAGATTGTGCAATGCAAGAGCATGCCAATCATACCTTGATCTCCATTTAGTCCTGGAGTCGTCGAGGTAGAGCTGGATGCCGGACAAAAAAGGAACATAATACTGTACAACACAGTCGCCACCATTCAAAACCAACGGCACTCCTGCACCATAAGCACTCCATTCCTTGAACGAATCCCATAAATCCCCGAGATTGAAGTAGGGACACAATTCCACCCCCTCATATTTCCTCCAACCCCTCTTGCTCGTCTGCAACAAACCAATCTTCTCAATTACCGAAACAATCACTAATAGAAAGGGTTAATTAAAAGAGTTCATTCACATTTTCGAGAATTTTCATCCATGCTAGATACATACCTTGGATAAATACCGAGCTGGAACCACGGGGGTCGTGGCCTCCAAAAAGCGATCCATGTTTGCGACTGCAGGAGTCGCCCTCGGAGGAGGAGGAGGAGAAGGAGAGTTCGACGATGAAGAGGAGGAAGAAGACACAGAAGGTTTCAAGGAATCATCCGACTCCTCTCTGACTTCGTAGACATGCTTATCGACGACGGGAGCCATCGAATTGACTGTATTCTGCAGCCGCTGCTGTTGTCGCTGCAGCTCGAGTTGTCTCCTCACAGCAGGCGGATTGTAGAAGCGATCGACGCCAAGGCGACGGCCGGAAGAGGAGCTGCTTGAGACGACCATGTTAGGCGAGAGAGCGGCGCCCCAAGGAATTCTGCGCAAGACAAACAGCGGCGAGATGGACGGCTAGACGTGGAAGAGAGGGATTTCGCTTTTGTTTTTGGCCGGATAAAATTGATATATTGTGGGCCCATGCCCGACGCGCTTTCTTTTCTCATTGGTTGATGATCTCCACCGAACCAAATTCCACAGCTCGCATTGAAATTTTCAAAGAACGCAAAGGGATTCGGAAGGAAAGCAGACCAAGCCCATGTGACGTGGAGGCATGAACTAAATGGACTTAATTATTAGAAAAAATATTACATCCAGAGCGTCTGATTGGAGACCGGATGCATAATTGTATCCTGATAATTGATGTGATACTGCAAGGTAGAATGGGAGCTCGGACATCTGTTGTATCACATTTGTTGTTCAGACGCAGCTCACGTTTGAACTCCGAACGTAATATTTTCTATAATTATTAGGCATTATTACATAGAGACCTTCCGAAACAATTTACAAATTAATCACTCACGAATTTTTTTTAAACCACCGAACAAATATAGTTACACGTGTCATGATCTAATTATTGACAATTTGATAAAAATGAAAAATATGAGTTGATATTTTATCATGAATTTTGATATTTGAGTGAGAATTTCAAAAAAATTGTGAAAGAGGGTGGTTGATTGTAAATAGTATGTTTAGGGTGTATTGTATGTAATTGTCCTTAATTATTAACTGTTAATGTTAGTTGGGATGACGGGAAGGGTTTTCTCCGAGATTACGCAGAGATTCTTCGTCTTTTTTTCTTTCTCTTGAGACAACTTTTAGACCTTTATTTCTATTATTTTTTATTCTGAACTTTTTTTAGGTTAAAGGGCTTTGCCCATTCTTTTTATCCATAAGTTTTCTTTCCCCCCATTTCATTCTTCTTCTTCACAATGTACTTCTGCTCTTGTGATGCCTTTAAGATGGAAATGATTAGTTTCTTCTAATCTATCCAGTTCTTCTGGTTTTAATCTATCTTATGTGTCTTGTGTAGAAGATATGATTGTTTTCTGTGATGAGGAAGTTGGTGTTAGATCTAAACAATGGCATCTTGAGTTGATTGGTTGGTTATGTATTAAGTAGAAGACCTTCTAGTAGAATGTCCTTCAGTCAATTGGTAAAATCTGAAAATTAAATTATTCAATTGAGTTTCTTTCTTTAACTGAGGGTTTTTTTTTTAATTTACTTGCCCTGGAGATTTTGAGATGGTTCTTGTGGTAGCACACGGTTTATTGGAGATAAATCAATTATTTTTAAAAAATGGACTATTGATTTTTGGTCAATTCGTGAGGATATTAAAGAGATTCCAATATGGCTTAAATTCTCAATTATTCCTTTGTTTTGTTGGTTGGAAAGAGGTATTTCTAAAATTACTAGCAAGATTGGTATCCTCGTGTGGGGGCTGCTTTGACAGCTAAGGGTTCTCGACTATCGTTTGCTATAGTTAATATTCAAATAAACATTGACTCTCCTTTGCCTGAATCTTTTACTATCGTTTTTAAGAACAAAGAATTTATTATTCCTATGATCTATGAATGGAAATCGGTGACATGCAATCTTGTTCTACTCTCTCTCATCATCCTTCAAACTGTCTTAAACTTTCTTCCTTACCTACTAATGCTATCCCTACTTTAAGAGGAATGAATTGTATCAAGATGAATGCCACTAGTAATTTAAAGAATAGAAGTAAATCTGTTAATATTGTTTGACCTTCTCATGGTTCTAATAATATTTTTAATGTTTCTATTCCTCCATATCTTAATGGTAATGCACCTATTTTATTGGGTACAAATGAGTTTTCTGTTGATATGACTCTTACCTCGGATAATATTGTTAATAATGAGGTCTCGTCTATTGTAAACGCTTATTCTGTATTATAGCCGAATTTAAATCTTTCTGATTTTGTTTCAGTACTGAAACTTATTGGAGCTATTAATAACTGTTTCTCAGACAGTGATTCCTTCTAATAATATTCCTTCTTGGGATATTATTAATGGTGAAAATTTGGATGTTAATGCTAATGCTACTAATGTTAATCCTTTACAAAGGAGTGGTATGAAAGTTAATAATTCTTACGTTATTATTGTTGATTCTGTCTCATGAAGATTTTCTAATAACCTTAAAAATGTTTCTCTGCATACTGATTCTACTTCTAATGTTTCTGTTACAAGTAAGAAAGATGGATTTAAATGATTTGTTATTCTTGATTTATTACTTTTTTTTTCTTTTCCTTCTTTTGATTGTTATTATGTTTCTTTCAAAATTGGCTACTTAGAATGTTCGTGGATTTAATAGCGAAACCCTGCTTGTAAATTGTAGAAGTTTTTTAGAATATTTTAGACTTGATCTTATTTATCTTTTAGAGATAGTTAAACTCTTCTCTTATTTATTATCCTATTGTTTTAAATCACTACAATTCTTTTTTAAAATGAAGGTAATGTTCATAAATTTTTATTAATGATGGTAGGATTTGGAGCAAATAAAATAATGACATTTTGAATTGTGATATGTTGATAGAATATCACACTTTAATGGTGACAAAATAATGGGATCATAAGTAAAATGTATTCTACCAAATGATGAAAATGCCAAAATCAGGCAACTAAGGGTGCGTTTGGGGCAGCTTGTGCTTATCCAGATAAGTTGCTTATTTGGAAATGCGGACCACGGGGTGCGATCCGCTTTTTCGCATTTAGTGTAAAAAACCATTTTTTTTTTTTGATTAGCTGCTCAGACGCAGTTTCCAAAAGGCAAGACAACTTTTTCAAAATGCCGCCACAGCGGATAAGCTACCCCAAACGGAGCCTAAATAAGATGTGGAGAGCTACAAGAGGCTGGGGGAGGAATGAAGCCAGTGAGAGAAGTTCTGTAGGGTTTTCATGTCAGCTCTATAATGAGTTTGTGTGAAGTCGAAGAGCTCAGCCCATGTAAAGTCGGGATACTTCCTCGGATTCTCTTCGTCCACAATGCACATTGGAGGCCTCACCACTCTGTCTTCTCTTGGACACAGGAAGAAGGCAAGCGACCTTCGTTCCACCATCTTGTTTACCACTGCCCGGTGTAAGCAGCTCTTGTACCTACCATTAGATAGCGCCTGCAAAATATAAATAAATAAATTTGTTAGCAAAATATTGTGCTCGTGCTAAATAAGAATTATCATGATATTTAAGTATGTTAATTATTTGTTCTTTAAGGCAAGAAAAATATATAAATCGTTACGAAATTAACATATTATTTAAAATATAGTTAAAAAAGATGAAAAATATGAGTACTCGCTAGTCGCTTCGAATTAGTTAATACTAGCAATGTTGCACTTTATGAAATGTGTTGCTTTACCCCACGATTGTAAAGGTATCTATGTCAAAACTTACAATCCATTATGAGATGAATATTAGATCAAGATGTACTAATTGATTCTCTTGAGAAATTCTAAGAAAAAATTTAATTTCTAATAAATGAAAGAATATTCTACATAAAAGATGAAAACTATACCCGATCCTTTAACAATCATTCAGCTCAGAGAAAATAATATAATAGTTAGTTGTCTGACATCGAATCATAAGAGGTCTCATCTCAAACACATAAATGTGTGATGTGACCTCCCATGATTGAAGATGCAATGTAATATTTTCTTTTGTTCATGTTGAGAAAATATTACATGCGGTGAGTGCTGTGAGGACAATAGTGTTGATACATAGAAATCTTGTACATGAATTTTAGGTCATCGTTGACTTATATATATTTCACTGTATATAATATTTTATCCTTCATGCTAAAAAACACCATTATACTTCTTTAAATAATCATCATTATTTTGTGCAAAAGCCAAAGTTGCCAGAGGATCAACTCTGCAACCAAGCTTATACTAACTACAAAACAGTCTCTAAGATCCAAAAAATGGCCAATTTAATAAAAAACCCAAGGAGAATAATTGGGGGCGGTGAACCAGAATACGTCAGTGGATCCAAATGCAGAGTTAACTATTCCGGCTAAAACTCCCTTTTTTAGCACGCTGGCCTGCATGCCGTGGCCCCTACCCAGATCACCAATCTCCATATGTGCGTAGCATTACAACTACATAGATCCACATAGACCAACAGGAAAATGTTGACAAACAGCAACAAGAAAAAGGGAAAAAAAAAGGCTTTTTTAAGTTTACTTGTCCTTTCGTTTTCTTCTTTCTATGTTCTGTTATCCATCATCAATTCCTTCATTATTGCATATTAATGAACCCATACATTTGTATGCATTTGCAGGAACAGATGTGAAGCAAGATGTTACCATGAATGTGTCGCCGATGTTGACGACTAGAGCGCCGGCAACAGGCCGCACCACCCGCCACTCCCCGCCGGAAAACACCTCCAGCCCTTCGACTCCTTCTTGTTGCAGAAGGATCGTAAGAGAGGTGGGATCACAATGCGGCCCTGTACCAAACGTGAGCTCTGGCTCCGGGCATGGTGGGTAGTAATTGCACCTTATTATTGATCTGCTTTCCGCGAAGAACTTGCTGTAGTGCGAACGATCCACCCCTAAACTTATTGCCAGCAGCTCCATGATCGAAACAGAGAGCTTCGTCATCGCTTCACAGTATCTCTGGTACACCATCCTAAGAAAAATAAGAATTTTTATCAAATGGAATTTCTTAAACACAAATAAGGCCATGATTCGATGCTATTACCCCATTTTCTGGTAAGAGCTTCCGAGGGTGGATGTGAAATAGTCAACGAGAATGGAGGAATTTGAGGCAGAGCTATCGTAGCCGAAAGACAGGGTTTCCTTCCATGGGAGCTTGGCGGTGAATCGGTCGGCGTGGGCTCCGGCGTAACCCCACATGCTCTGCGGTTTTCTGCGAGCTTTCAGTTTGTGTTGCAGGGGAAGCATGAAGTACTCGTCAATGCAGCTCATGGTGTCGTCCATGAGAGCAGAGCTGACACCATGGTTGGTGACTTGGAAGAAGCCGTGTTCTGTACACGCCGAATGGAGGAGGTCGGAGGCTAGCTTCGTTGAGTCTTCGTCGCCATGGAAGAAGCCATCCAGGTTGATGACGGGAGCTTGAAGCTCGTTTGGCTTGCTCGACCTGGCAGTCTGCGGCCAGATGAATTGGCGAGGAATGGAAGCTTGGTTGCGGAGGTGAGAGGAGTCGAAGATGATGCTGGTTGCAAAGTTGGAGTCTTTGCCATGAGGGTTCAGGAGTTCAGCTGGAGGGAGTAGGAGGAGAGAAGTGGGGCTTGAATTCATTGTGGAAGTGAATTAGAGCTTGAAGTTTGGTTATGGAAGGTGGAAGGAGAAGCTGTATGGTTTTGTCAGTGTTGATTATTTATATGGAGGATTGTAACAGGACAGAGGAAGATAGCTATGAGGAGTTGAGTTGGGTCCCATGAATTAAGAGAGTATATGAAATGGATTGGAGAGATAGCAACGTGGTGGACATAGCCAGAATTTTGTCCATCGGTGAGATCGAAGATTGGGTGGGAGACTTTAACCTCCTTTCAATTTTTTCATCCATTTTCTTTTATTCCTCCTTTCAATTTTTTCATCCATTTTCTTTTATTCCTCCTTTCAATTTTTTCATCCATTTTCTTTTATTCCTCCTTTCAATTTTTTCATCCATTTTCTTTTATTATTATTATTATTATTATTATTATTATTATTATTATTATTATTATTATTATTATATATATATATATTTAGGGCAAAGAAAACGCAGATCTAGAAAGAAACACAGTTACACAGAGATTTAACGAGGTTTGTCAAAGATGTCTACGTCCTTGGAAGCAAAACGGTGGGTTTTCTTTCAATTCAGAAAAGAATACAAGATACTCTTAGGGTTACAATACATCATATATATATATATATATATATATATATATATATATAGCATTGACGTATACGTATAATATGTAATTACAAAATTACTCATATACCGTAACGTGGGGGCGTTGCCCTCACACCTCCAACCCACATAACGAAACTCCCCCGATTGGATAGATGTTTCTGCTCTGCTCCGCTGACTCGCTCCGTTCCGCTCCAACATCTGCCTCTTATCTGGTATATGAGTCATACCTAACAAATTTGTACTTTGGCGAATATCTAGCCTTTTAAGAGAAAGATACCTGAAAGTTTCTCAAATAACAAAGTGGGTTGGCCCACCATGCTTTTCTAGCAACTGTAAATATTCAACAAGTTCAAGCAATGCAAGAACTTGTTGATAGTAACTGGCTTGGTTAACATATCAGCTACATTCTTATTAGTATGAACCTTCTGTAACAGAATCTCACCAGAAACAATTAATTCTTTGATCTTGTGATATCTGACATCAATATGCTTAGTTCTCGCAATGTACACCTGGTTCTAAGCCAAATAAATAACACTTTGGCTATCACAATGCAATTGAACTCCACCTTGCTCAACACTCAGTTCCTTTACTAGCCCGGTAAGCCATAAGGCTTCTTTAGCAGCTTCAACTACAACCATGTACTCAGCTTCAGTTGTAGATAATGTCACAATAGATTAAACTGTTGATTTCCAACATATAGGCCCTCCACCAAGAGTAAACACAAACCCAGTTGTTGACCTTCTGTTATCTAAATCACCTACATAGTTTGAATCCACATACCCCACAACTGAAGGATCATTCTACTGACTGCCAAAAATAATTTCATGTCCTACAATACACTTCAAATACCTAAAATTTTACTTGACTACTTTGCAATGTCGCCTTCCAGGTTTAGACATGTATTTGCGGACTTTACTAACAACATGAGCCAAATCAGAGCGAGTATATACCATTGCATACATCAAGCAACCAACTGCACTGACATATGGAACATTTTCTATGTCTTCGATTTCCCTATCTATCTTCGGACACTGTTCTGAAGAAAGCTTAAAATGATTTTCCAATCGAGTGCTCACAAGCTTTGCTTTGCTCATCTCAAACCTATCTAGCACTTTCTCAACATAGCTTCATTGAGATAAACATAATCGTCTTAAGCCTCTATTGACCAAAGGAAAATATGTTGAGATTTTCATACCTATTTTACACTGATTTTGATGATATTGCACTTTAAGGAAAGGTATTTTGAATTATGGTCATTGGAGCAAAAAAGATGCAAAAATGAGCGAATTTAGAGCAAAGATGTCCAAAATATGAAAATTTGATTTTGGGCACCGACGGTGGGCTTGACGCCGCCGACGTTAGATTTTTCCCGAGAGTCCAGAATTAAATATTCTGCAAGGCCCCCGACGGCGCCATCGAGGTCGCCGACAGTGAGCACGTCGGTTCTCTCAACCGATGCATTGAATGTGGACAATTTTTTAAGGGACTCTTGGGAAACTCTTGAAAATTCTTCTAGAACTTTAAAAGAAAAAGTTAGGAGGCTGAAAAAGGGGTGTCCACGGGGTGTCTGCGGAGCCTTTGTTGTTTGTGGTGCCCATTACAGTGTAGAGAGTGTTTAGTATTGTGAGGAATTCTTCGAGAGATTATAAGAGTAGAAGGAAAGTGAGAGATTTCTTCCTCCTTGCCGCTTTGAAGGAGAATTCTGTGTGCTGTAAAGAAAGTAAGAGATTCAGAGGAACTTCGAGGAGTTTTCTTGGGGAGGAATTAGAGATAAGTTGTATTTACTTATTGAAGTTTTTATGACTTTGCTTTTATATTTAAATTCCAAGTTTTGTCGTATATTCTCCATAAGTTATTAGTAGTTTTCTCTGTCTTTCTCATTGTCTTGAGATTTTGTGAAATTGTTATTTGAATTGGTTGTGTCATGAGAATGTTAAAGAAGTTGTGATGATCTTTTCACTTCAATTTTAATTTACTTTCAATCTGGTCAATTGATTTGTTAAAATATGTTGAGTTTTACAACTAAAGTGAAGATTACATCCAAGATTTAGGGAGGTCAAAGTCCTTGAAAGTTGG